TACACTGGCTGTATATTAGTGTATATCGGCATGTATATCAGCCCTTTTTTCATGTATTTCTTGCTTCCGGACACTTGCATTTTTTATTCCCGACCTCAACCTGTGGCTGCTGCGTTTTTTACCATATATGTCGGCGTATATCACCGTATATCAGTGTATACAAGCTATGTTTCAGCCTTTCGAAACCTAGTATTTGTATCAGCTTCCAAAACTTGGAAACAATGGCAAAGTTGACTCGAAGAAGGAGGAATCTTGGGTTTCAACCAACTTGAGATGCAAGAGGAAAAGGGGAGTCCTACGGACTCAAACCGAGGGAGTTCATGCATAAAAAATGACAAGAATTAGAATGATAATTTATTTAACTTGAAATAGTTCACAGCCATTGTTGAAAAGAAATTACAAGAGATAACTTCATGAATAAAAACACTAAAATTTGAACCACCGCAAAGAACAAGTTATGCAACTACTAAATTATTTAACATTTTTTATTACTGCCTAAGGAAGGAAGAAATAGCACAGCAGGAGCAATGTATTGTAGAACATCGTAGACATTGATAATTGAATGTTATATCACCCATTTAAACTCAAAATTAAATCACAACTAAACGCTGAAGACAAATTAAACAATTAGAAGCATTAATTCAAATTAAGACTCAACTAATTCTCCGCATGTACTAGCTAAAATTATTCAAAGTAATCACATTTATACTAAACAGTAGTCTGCAAGGACTAAAGCTAAACAATAGGTAGCAAACATGTTGGAACAACCAGATTATGATTTTTACGCTTGGTCTAAACAAAGAACCTAATCAGCTATACAGAAGCTGGAATTAGATTTTAAGTTGAATCTACCATGCTGAATATAGAACAAGACAACATTTAAGATAAATCGAAATAGAACCGACAGGCAACCAAACCACAACTTAGATGAATAATATAGAATTTCGAATAACCATGAACTCAGATATGCTAAGAACGAAAAATAGTGAAAACAAAATGGCAACCTACGGTGCTGATTAACAAATATGACTTTAAGGGAGAGGTAGCCTCGTGCCTTTTTCGAACTTAACGAGATCTTAATGATATCAAAATGCAGCTACGATAAGGATGTGAATCTCAATCTGACAAACGATAAGAAAGTGAACTCAACTCTGCCAAAACTTACAACAAACAATTAGTTTTATATAACTCCAATAGGCAATAGCACAAATAAGAACTATAGCGTACTCGATCAACGCGACTTTCCAACAAAATGCTTAATCAAGGTAATACCAAACATTAATCAACCAACCTCAAAATATAAGCTCGTTCTGAAGGTCGGGCAGTGACATTCAATGAGATGATTAGTCATATAACTTAAATACGAGATGCAAGCAGGTGAATATAGACATTGGAAACGAAATAGAGGAAAGCTGATCAATTAACACTCAAGCCAAGAATTAGGAGTTCTTTCATACAAACTAAACTTCCCACAAGACAAAAACAGATTTTTGTTACTAAACTACTCAATCTTAACACATAATAACCAATACACTGATCAAGAAAGGTATACTTAAAACTAACAGGAATTACACAAAGTAAAGTTAGAAGTATTTTACCTCCTTCTGGGCAGCGAGACTAGGACGACGAGCTTGAATGATTCGACCTTCGACCCACCAGCAGATGAGTAAAAGAACTTGAAAGAAAATCAAAAAATCTGAGGCTCAAACCTTCGTGGGTTCGATTTCGTGGAATACCATTCTCCAACCTTCAAAATTCTATTCTCTTCTTCTTCCGTGTCTCTCCCCAAACTCCCCCCTAAACCGAAAACAAAGATGGATTTTATATAGGAGAAAATGAATTCGATTAAAGGGGAAATGGATTAAAAATTTAAATTTCAAATCCCTTTTTTTCAGGAAACAGTAGAAAGGATGGGGCCTTCTACAAAAGAGGATGAGGGGACAGGGTGAGTATGGGCGCTGCAGGGTAGTTGAGCGAGATTTCCAAATTTGCAGCGCAATTTGCTCGCTGAATTTTGGTGTTCGCGTGAAAAAGAAGAGTAACAGGGGCCGGGTACTGTTTTGAAGTGGGTTGAGGCGGTTGGAAGAGGTTTTTTGTATTGTTATGTATGTATGTAGCTGTTTGGGAGTGTATTATTGTATTGTCGCATGTATGGGTGGGCTGGGAATATTGTGGAGAAATGGGTTTGAGGAACAAAAAGGGAAATGGGCTAATTTGGTGCTGCTGTAAAGCAAATTGGCCCAACAAAATAGCCCAAATTTGGGTCTTACAAGAAATGGAACTCAAGCTAATAAATGACTACATTAACAATTGAAAATATAACCAATTGAGATTAAAACTTAGCCAAAATTGAAAAAATTAATTGGCAAACTCGGCCAAAAGCTGAATAAGACAAACCTTTGAAATTAATTTATGAGCTTCCTAATCTTAACGAAATAAAATAATCAATTTAAAATATAAACTGTTATATGACTAAACTAATTAAACAAATATTTAATTAAAACAAAATCTTTTTGAGACGATTTTCGAATAATCATAAAATATACTAATTATATGCATAGTTATGTAAAACATATATATCATCTAAAAATTATAAAAAAGTGACAAAACTATTTAAAATAACTTGCAAAATAATAATTATTATTACTATTATTATTGTTATCATTTATTTTTTTGAAATTTTATAAAACTAATTATTTTAAATCGTTTAAAATTGAAGAAACTCGAAATGATTAATTTATATTGTGGAGGGTCAAAATTGGGTGTCAACAGAGTTCACTTAAAAAATAAAAGGAGACATGAACGTTGAGATTTAAGGTGGGTCTTTCTTTGCTTTCAATATAAATGTAAGTTTTTCTTCAAAGAAATTGATTTCTCTGACTTATATTTCTATTTTTTCAAAACAATTATTTATTTTGTCACGCCCCGAGCCTACACCCTGGGCGGGACCGGCACTCGGAGACCATTGTTGGCCCCAAGCGAACCCTTGGCCTGGCTTTCATAACTCAGCGGAACCTAACTCAACAAAAACTTCATGCAAAGCAAAAATCATAAGACAACTTAACTGATACAAATCTGGCCATAAAGGCACCTCGGTCTCAAAATAGAGTATTAACATATATACATAGGTAAGAGACTCGAAACTAGCTGACTGACTGTCTGTCTATGAAGCCTCTAAAATACTGAGATGGATGTTGGGACAGACCCCACAACATCCTAATAAAACAAAAGAAGCCTAAGAACACAAAATAATCGAGTCCCTCCGGAATGCAAGGAGGCTCACCACTGACTCTGGAGTGCTCAGCTGGATCAACGACGTGCAGGATGCTGATCCGGGATACCTGAATCTGCATCATCAAACGATGCAGGCCAAATGGCATCAATACATGGAATGTACGAGTATACGAGCTGGAAAACTAAGCAACAAAGGCTAGAATGAAATCTGGAAGAAAACTGAATAACTTACCTGGCTCAACTCAACTCAACCTGACTGACTTCTTTCAATATAAGGCAATTTAAAACAAGTGCGATATAAAGAAAAACTGTTTAAAACATGCTATAAACTCTGTGTGTATACAAGGATACAATAAGCCTTAAATGTATATAGAAATGCAATGAATTGATGTATATAAAAATACAATAATTTCTATGTATAAAATACAATAACTGCTGTGGGAGTTTCTCTAACCGACAACCATCACATAAGAGCTATAGTGATGATACAGCGATCGACCTCACGCTGCCAGAGCATCTTATACCCGGCCAAAGGTATAAGACCTGAACTGCCTAATGGATCCACTAGTCTAATCTGAAAAGGATTCATCTAAAAGGTATGATCCTTTTCTACCCATGGTGGCTAACATGGTTCTATGGGGGCTGTGGGTTCTTTGAACGCTCCCCCAATTCGGTGGTCGATACTACTCCCAAAAATGTACTGGCTCTTATGTTTTTAAAACACATTTCTTCCTGCTGATATGAGATAATTACTCAAAAACTAGCCCGAAGGCTCTTTTGGAAATCTCAGTTTCCAACCTTGTTTAAATGTAAAAACATTTCTTTAAAACTTCCTTGGGAATACATAGTTCCCTAATACCTTTGAGAAAAGAACTCAACTTTAAACTCTTTATTTATGACTTGACTTGAAACTCAATACTTATCTTTGAACTTGAGCCTTAAAATGAAGTTAAAACGCTCAATGAAGGCTCTTGGAAAACCTTAAGGACTTGCTTGCTTCTAAGCTTGACTTCACTTGACTTGGGAACTATCTTTCTTTGAAAACAGAATTATGAATTCAAGATGTTCGATCACATGTTATGGAGGGATTCTTGAATGCTTGGACGTACTTTGGAGTGTCGGAAACAACTATAAATCATAGGTATAATACTTTGGAATATGCATGAGAGAGTGAGAAAGAATGGGGGAAACTTGGCTGAGGCTTCAGATTTCTGGTGACACAGGTGGGACTTACGGACGCCATCGACGGACCGTAGATGGACTTACGGTCCGTCCTGCAGGTCCGTAGACCGCGTCAGAAACTCCCCCGGAATTCATTTAAGGAAAATGACTAAGTATTGACCTACGGTCCGTAGGTCAGGTCACGGACCGTAGGTCGTGACCGTAGTCGATGCCCCAAAAACCCAACTTCTGTTCCGATTGACGGTTGACCAGTACGGACCGTCAATCGATCTACGGTCCGTAGGTCACTCCCGTAGATGGGGATCGTCAACCCAGAAATTTCTGCGAATCGATGGTAAATCAACTTCAAAAGGTTCATAACTCTTAGAATCATAATTCCCTCAACATACAATAGGTTTCAACTTAAATGCATAACTCAATCATGTCTCACAATGAACAATGACTTTAACAACAATATCAACAACAACTAACAACTTCAACACTTCAACAACAATTCCCAATCTTTTCTCAAATCATAGAATAAACTTGGTGTGTGTGAGGGAAAGGATCAACCCACACGAAAAAACTCACATACCTTGATAGGGATCACCCCCGACGAAAATCCACAATGATCTCGTCGATCTCCTCTTTCTCCTCTTCTTCTCTTCTTCTCTTCTTCTTCTCTTCTTCTCCTCTCAAGAACCCTAACTCTTTCTCTTTAAAATGGGATAAATGAAATGATCCAAAATCAGCCTAACACACCATGTAACCTCAAGAGAAAGAATTTGGGAAAAGACCAAAATGCCCTTAAATTTCCGGACGGATTTCCCTTCCAACTGCCCATCTTCTAAAGGGCGTAACTCCCTCATACGAACTCGGAATCGAGCAAACTCAGTGGCGTTGAAAAGTTCATTCCACGAGCTTCGCAACCATAACTAGAACTACTCCTAAATCATCCTGAGCTAGGAGTTACGAATACTCAAAGTTGGCTAAAAACTCACTTCTTCCCATACTTAACCAAATTTCCAGATTCTAATTTTTCAAAAAAAAAATGACTACTTTCCAATTTCAAGCTTCTACAAAGCCACTTCAAATTGTCGGATGTTACAATATCTCCCCCTTGGGAACATTCGTCCTCGAATGAGGTTGCTCTTACAAAGCTGAGGGTGTAACATCAACTCAGCACCCAACAACAACCATGCAAACGCAACAACAATAACGATAAGCTCATTATAAAAATAAAAGGGCACTAAGAAGGAAATTAATACCTTAATCTGCATTTTCTTCGGATTCAAAGAGATATGGATATCTCTTCTTCATGTCTTCTTCGGCTTCCCATGTTACTTCCTCAACAACTTGGTTCCTCCATAGGACCTTAACTGAGGCTATATCTTTCGTTCTCAACCTACGAACTTGACGATCCAAGATTTGAACTGGAACCTCCTCATAAGATAAGTTATCATTGATCTTAATACTTTCAGTCGGTAGGATCAATGAAGGATCGCCTATGCACTTCTTCAACATGGAGATGTGAAAAACCGGATGAACCGCTGCTAGATCCTGTGGTAACTCCAACTCATAAGCAACATTGCCAATCCTCTTGGCTATGCGGTAAGGTCCAATATACCGGGGACTAAGTTTCCCTTTCTTACCAAACCTCATAACACCTTTCATGGGTGAAACCTTCACATATACCCAATCGTCTATTTCGAATTCTAACGCCCTTCTCCTAACATCGGTGTAGGATTTCTGACGACTCTGTGCCATTTTCAACCTCTCTTGAATCACTTTCACTTTCTCCATAGCTTGGTGAACTAAATCTGGTCCTATCAACTGTGTTTCACCAACTTCAAACCATCCAATAGGAGATCTACATCTTCTCCCATAAAGAGCTTCATATGGAGCCATCTGGATGCTAGAGTGATAACTGTTGTTGTAGGCAAACTCAATGAGAGGTAGGTGATCATCCCAACTCCCTTTGAAATCGATTACACAAGCTCTCAACATATCCTCTAAAATCTGAATAGTGCGTTCTGCTTGCCCATCAGTCTGAGGATGAAAGGCAGTACTTAAGTTCACTTTCGAACCCAAGCCTTTCTGAAAAGATTTCCAGAACTGTGCAGTAAACTGTGCACCTCTATCTGAAATAATGGAGATTGGGACTCCATGAAGTCTCACTATCTCTTGAACATACAACTTGGCATAATTTCTGCTGTATTGGTAGTCTTTACCGGTAGAAAATGAGCTGACTTTGTCAGTCTGTCGACAATCACCCAAATAGAATCATGTTGTCTGCGAGACCTTGGTAACCCTATGATGAAATCCATATTGATCATCTCCCACTTCCACTCTGGAAGTTCTATCCTCTGAGCTAAACCACCGGGCCTTTGGTGTTCAACTTTAACTTGTTGGCAATTTGGACACTTAGCAACAAACTCAGCAATGCTCTTCTTCATGCCATTCCACCAATAAATTTCACGCAAATCACGATACATCTTGGTGGAACCTGGATGAACGGAATATCTGGAGCTATGAGCTTCCTCCATAATCTTCTCTTGGAGTCCATCTACCATAGGTACACACAATTTACCTTGATATCTCAATACACCATCTCCCCCTTGTTCAAAAGCTAATACTCTTTGCTTCTGAACATTTGCCTTCAACTCAAGCAAAATGGGATCTTGATCTTGCTTTTCTTTCACTTCTGACATTAATGATGACTCGGCCCTGCTCGTCACCGCTATTCCTCCTTCTCCGGAATCTGTAAATCTGACTCCCAGGCATGCCAGTCTGTGCATATCTTTTGCTAACTCTCTCCTTCCCCTTCAATATGGGCGGTGCTACCCATAGACAACCTGCTCAAAGAATCAGCAACAACATTAGCCTTACTTGGGTGGTAAAGAATACTCAGGTCATAATCCTTGAGTAACTCTAACCACCTCCTCTGTCTGAGATTAAGTTCTTTCTGAGTAAGCACATATTGAAGGCTCTTGTGATCAGTGAATATGTCGACATGCACACCATACAAGTAATGACGCCATAACTTCAAAGCAAATACTACAGCAGCTAGCTCTAAGTCATGGGTTGGGTAGTTCCTCTCATGAACCTTCAAATGTCTGAGGCATAAGCTATAACTTTGCCATTCTGCATTAAGACACAACCCAAACCAACTCTAGATGCATCACAATACACCACAAAACCTTGAGTACCTTCTGGTAGTGTCAAAACTGGAGCCGTAATCAATCTCTTTTTCAATTCCTGAAAACTTTTCTCACAAGCTTCAGACCATTGAAATTTCACTGTGTTCTGAGTCAACTTGGTCAAAGGAGATGCGATAGTCGAGAACCCTTCAACAAACCTTCTATAATAGCCAGCCAAACCCAAGAAACTCCTAATTTCAGTTGGAGATGTGGGTCTAGGCCAATTCTGCACTGCCTCAATTTTCCGAGTATCAACTTTAATTCCATCACCGGACACAATGTGGCCTAGGAACGCCACAGACTTAAGCCAAAACTCACACTTAGAGAACTTGGCATACAACTCCTTGTCCTTCAAAGTCTGAAGAACTGTTCTGAGATGACTAGCATGATCTTCTTCACTCTTTGAGTAGATTAGTATGTCATCAATAAAGACAATAACAAACATATCTAAATAAGGTTTGAAGACTCTATTAATCAAATCCATGAAAGTTGCCGGTGCATTAGTCAAACCAAAGGACATGACCAAAAACTCATAATGACCATACCTGGTTCTGAAAGCTGTTCTTGGTATATCACATTCCCTTACCCTTAACTGATGATAGCCTGATCGGAGGTCAATCTTTGAAAAACAAGTGGCACCCTGAAGCTGATCAAAAAGGTCATCAATCCTCGGAAGAGGGTACTTGTTCTTGATGGTAACCTTATTCAACTGGCGGTAGTCTATACACATTCTAAGGGAACCATCTTTCTTCCTCACAAACAAGACCGGAGCGCCCCAAGGTGAGGCACTTGGTCGAATGAAACCCTTATCTAGGAGATCTTTCAACTGCTCTTTCAACTCCTTCAACTCTGCTGGTGCCATTCTATAAGGCGGAATCGAGATAGGACGAGTATCTGGAATAAGATCTATGCCGAAATCTATTTCTCTCTCAGGAGGAATTCCGGGTAGATCATCAGGAAAAACTTCTGGAAATTCTCTTACTATAGGAACTGACTGGAAATGAGGTATCTCAACACTAGAGTCATGAACTCGGACTAAGTGACAGATACAACCCTTCGAAACTAGCTTTCTTGCCTTAAGGTACGAAATGAAACGACCCTTAGGCACTGATGAACTGCTACTCCACTCTATGACTGGCTCATTCGGAAACTGAAACTTGACTGCTCGAGTTCTACAGTCTAATGATGCATTACAGCATGAAGCCAATCCATACCTAGAATGACATCAAAATCTACCATGTCTAACTCAACCAAGTCAGCCTTGGTACTCTTGTGATTGATAGAAACAGGACAATCACGATAAACTCTTTCAGCTAGAATAGACTCCCCAATAGGCGTAGAAACACAAAAGGGTTCACAAAGTCTTTCAGGAAGAACCTCAAACTGATTTGCAACATAAGGAGTTACAAAAGATAAACTCGCTCCTGGGTCTAGCAAAGCATACACATCAAAAGCAAAGACTTTGATCATACCAGTGACAACATTCGGAGAATTCTCTTGCTCATGGCGACTGGTGATAGCATAAAGGCGGTTTGCTCCTCCACCTACACTAGAAGTAGCTTCTCTAGGTGCCGTCCTGTCTGGTGGAACAACTGAAGAAGACTGTGCTTTACTGCCTCCATTGCCCTGCCTATTCTTTGGACACTCTCGCATGAAATGTCCATTCTGACCACGCCTGAAACAACCATTGGAGCCCTCTCGACAAATACCTGAGTGGTTCCTACCACATTTGGCGCAGACAGGAGGCTTACTACTCCCTTGCGCCACACTACCCGAAGATTGTGCTGGTCTAGCCCTGAAGTCCTTCGAATTCTGAACATTAAATTCACCTCTGTATCTGGGTGCAGGTGCTCTAGCAAATGATGGAGCAGGTCCCTTTTGCCTTTGCTGAAAGGAGGAACGATTTGAATTACCTCTCTGCTGCCCGGACTCATTCCCGATCTTAGCTCTCTTATTTCTGAACTCTTCTCTGTCCCTCAGCTTCTCTTCCTCAACTTGCTGCACATAAACCATCAACCTTGATATGTCCATGTCCCCGATAAGCATTGCCGCCCTACCTTTCTTGCTCGACAACCGAGATAACCCAGCAACAAACAAGCTCATTCTATTCCTCATGTCCGCAACCATCTCCGGAGCATAGCGGGATAATTGTGTGAACTTCAAACTGTACTCATGAACACTCAAGGACTCCTGCTTAACTGTGAGGAACTCACGTACCTTAGCCTCTCTCAATTCTCGAGGAAAGAAATGCCCCAAGAAAGTTTCCTCAAAACCGGCCCAACTTGCAGGTGGTGCATTCTCAGCTATGCCCCCTTTCCACTGGTCGAACCAAGTTCTAGCAACATCCTTCAATTGATAAGCAGCTAGTTCAACCCGCTCAATATCTGCCACATGCATTACATCAAAAATCCTCTTCAGCTCCTCAATGAAATCCTCTGGATCCTCAGTAGTGCTCGAACCCATGAAACTCGGAGGATTCATCCCCAAGAACTCACGAATCCTTGAAGTGTCAGCTCCTTCATGTCGTGCTCCTCTCTGCTGACCAATCTGATTAGTTACAGCTTGACTCAGAATTCTAATTGCCTCTCTGAACTCGGCATTAGAAACTTCCCCTTGATCTTGCACTCCCGGTGCATCAGGTAACTCTTGCTCATCAACATAGCGTCTAGGAAGACGCCCTCTACCAACTCTTCGTGGAGGCATGACTATCTGAAACACGCGCAAGCACGAATTAGAAAGAAACTTTTTAGAGATCAACTCTAACGCACGAAATGAGTGTGAAAGAAGTGAGAAATCTTCCTAAATGTTGTAGCCTCCCAATTATAGATGTGGCGCGCTTCACATCGATAACTAGGACTCTACAGACACGACTTCATAGACTCCCTAGGACTCTTGAACTCTGTGCTCTGATACCAAGTTTGTCACGCCCCGAGCCTACACTCTGGGCGGGACCGGCACTCGGAGACCATTGCTGGCCCCAAGCGAACCTTTGGCCTGGCTTTCTTAACTCAGCGGAAACCTAACTCAACAAAAACTTCATGCAAAGCAAAAATCATAAGACAACTTAACTGATACAAATCTGGCCATAAGACACCTCGGTCTCAAAATAGAGTATTAACATATATACATAGGTAAGAGACTCGAAACTAGCTGACTGACTGTCTGTCTATGAAGCCTCTAAAATACTGAGATGGATGTTGGGACAGACCCCACAACATCCTAATAAAACAAAAGAAGACTAAGAACACAAAATAATCGAGTCCCTCCGGAATGCAAGGAGGCTCACCACTGACTCTGGAGTGCTCAGCTGGATCAACGACGTGCAGGATGCTGATCCGGGATACCTGAATCTGCATCATCAAACGATGCAGGCCAAATGGCATCAGTACATGGAATGTACGAGTATGCGAGCTGGAAAACTAAGCAACAAAGGCTAGAATGAAATCTAGAAGAAAACTGAATAGCTTACCTGGCTCAACTCAACTCAACCTGACTGACTTCTTTCAATATAAGGCAATTTAAAACAAGTGCGATATAAAGAAAAACTGTTTAAAACATGCTATAAACTCTGTGTGTATACAAGGATACAATAAGCCTTAAATGTATATAGAAATGCAATGAACTGATGTATATAAAAATACAATAATTTCTATGTATAAAATACAATAACTGCTGTGGGAGTTTCTCTAACCGACAACCATCACATAAGAGCTATAGTGATGATACAGCGATCGACCTCACGCTGCCAGAGCATCTTATACCCGGCCAAAGGTATAAGACCTGAACTGCCTAATGGATCCACTAGTCTAATCTGAAAATGATTCATCTAAAAGGTATGATCCTTTTCTACCCATGGTGGCTAACATGGTTCTATGGGGGCTGTGGGTTCTTTGAACGCTCCCCCAATTCGGTGGTCGATACTACTCCCAAAAATGTACTGGCTCTTATGTTTTTAAAAAACATTTCTTTCTACTGATATGAGATAATTACTCAAAAACTAGCCCGAAGGCTCTTTTGGAAATCTCAGTTTCCAACCTTGTTTAAATGTAAAAACATTTCTTTAAAACTTCCTTGGGAATACATAGTTCCCTAATACCTTTGAGAAAAGAACTCAACTTTAAACTCTTTATTTATGACTTGACTTGAAACTCAATACTTATCTTTGAACTTGAGCCTTAAAATGAAGTTAAAACGCTCAATGAAGGCTCTTAGAAAACCTTAAGGACTTGCTTGCTTCTAAGCTTGACTTCACTTGACTTGGGAACTATCTTTCTTTGAAAACAGAATTATGAATTCAAGATGTTCGATCACATGTTATGGAGGGATTCTTGAATGCTTGGACGTACTTTGGAGTGTCGGAAACAACTATAAATCATAGGTATAATACTTTGGAATATGCATGAGAGAGTGAGAAAGAATGGGGGAAACTTGGCTGAGGCTTCAGATTTCTGGTGACACAGGTGGGACTTACGGACGCCATCGACGGACCGTAGATGGACTTACGGTCCGTCCTGCAGGTCCGTAGACCGCGTCAGAAACTCCCCCGGAATTCATTTAAGGAAAATGACTAAGTATTGACCTACGGTCCGTAGGTCAGGTCACGGACCGTAGGTCGTGACCGTAGATCGATGCCCCAAAAACCCAACTTCTGTTCCGATTGACGGTTGACCAGTACGGACCGTCAATCGGTCTACGGTCCGTAGGTCACTCCCGTAGATAGGGATCGTCAACCCAGAAATTTCTGCGAATCGATGGTAAATCAACTTCAAAAGGTTCATAACTCTTAGAATCATAATTCCCTCAACATACAATAGGTTTCAACTTAAATGCATAACTCAATCATGTCTCACAATGAACAATGACTTTAACAACAATATCAACAACAACTAACAACTTCAACACTTCAACAACAATTCCCAATCTTTTCTCAAATCATAGAATAAACTTGGTGTGTGTGAGGGAAAGGATCAACCCACACGAAAAAACTCACATACCTTGATAGGGATCACCCCCGACGAAAATCCACAATGATCTCGTCGATCTCCTCTTTCTCCTCTTCTTCTCTTCTTCTTCTCTTCTTCTCCTCTCAAGAACCCTAACTCTTTCTCTTTAAAATGGGATAAATGAAATGATCCAAAATCAGCCTAACACACCATGTAACCTCAAGAGAAAGAATTTGGGAAAAGACCAAAATGCCCTTAAATTTCCGGACGGATTTCCTTTCCAACTGCCCATCTTCTAAAGGGCGTAACTCCCTCATACGAACTCGGAATCGAGCAAACTCAGTGGCGTTGAAAAGTTCATTCCACGAGCTTCGCAACCATAACTGGAACTACTCCTAAATCATCCTGAGCTAGGAGTTACGACTACTCAAAGTTGGCTAAAAACTCACTTCTTCCCATACTTAACCAAATTTCCAGATTCTAAATTTTTCAAAAAAAAAAATGACTACTTTCCAATTTCAAGCTTCTACAAAGCCACTTCAAATTGTCGGATGTTACAATTAAGGAGTGTTTTGATAAGATAAATGGATCTCGACTTTACCAATTGCACAGGAACATATTCACTCTTACCTAGGGAGTTTCGACTGTCTCTGCTTATTTTACAAAATTGAAGAATTTGTGGGATGAATATGATTCAATTCTTCCCACACCTAGCTGTGATTGTTCTAAGGCTAAAGAGTTTGTGGAACAGATGTACTATCAAAGGTTATTGCAGTTTCTCATGGTCTTAAATGATAGTTATTCACAGGATAAGGGGCAAATTCTTATGATGCATAATTTGCCAAATATAAACCAAGTCTATGCCTTAGTGATTCAGGATTAGAGTCAGAAAGGAATTGCAGGGGATATAGGAGAAGGAATGGATTCATTAGCATTGTATGCTGCTAGATCTAACACACCTCAGCAGTTCCATCCTAAGCCTAGGAAGAATTATCAAAATTTGTTTTGCGATTTCTGTAGCATGAGAGGCCATGTTCGAGCAGACTGCAACAAGTTGTAAAAATGTGACCATTGTCATGTCACTGGACATATAAAGGAGAATTGTTTCTTACTGATTGGTAACCCAGAAAATTTTAAAGGAAAGAGAAGGGCTAATGCAATGTTGGGTGGAGGAGATCATCATTTTCAGCAGCAGAGTTCATAGGATCATGCAGTGCTAGAAGGAAGTTCTATGATGCAGAGAAAGACACACACTGCTATAGGAGAACATAAGTCGACTACTCAAGAGCAGCTATTGCAGCTCATGCATGATTCTTCACCAGAGCAGCTTCATCAGATGATTGACACGATAAAGAGAAACACGAATGTTGTGGATACTCCAAGCAATGTCAACATGGCAGGTACTTCTCATTCCTTGAAATGGATAATAGACACAGGGGCCACAAATCACATGATAAACAACCCAAATTATTTACATGTCAAGACTAAAGTAGGTGGCGTAGGAAATGTGCAACTTCCTACAGGTGACTTAGCTACAGTCTCACATGTTGGGAGCCTTCAGCTTAGTGAAAATGATGTGATCAGCGAAGTCTTATTTATACCAGCATTCAAGTTTAACATTTTGTCTGTGAATAAATTGACAAAAAAGTTAAACTGTTGTGTTTCATTCTTCCCTACACATTGTGTTTTTCAGGATCTCTTGTCTGGGAAGGTCAAGGTGATTGGTGAAGTTGAGGATGGTCTATATGTGTTGCACTAGACATCAAATGGGCAAAGAAACAACATCAAAACACTGACAACAGTTAGGAAAGAAGACGGAGATTCAATACTTTGGCATCAAAGGCTAGGCCATGTGCCTATGGGAGTACTTAGGAAAATAAAGGAATTACATGTTCATGCTAGTTTTACTAATGACCAGTGTACTGTTTGTCCTCAAGCTAGGCAAACTAGAGTTTCTTTTCCTGTAAGTAGTACTACAGTTAATGATTTTTTGGATCTAGTGCATATGGATGTCTGGGGTCCATATAGAATAGCTACTCACACAGGAATGCGGTATTTTCTTACCTTGGTTGATGACAAGTCTAGATAGACATGGACTTTCTTGATTGTTTTGAAGTCTGATGTAATTGTTGTTCTTAAACAATTTCTAGCAATGGTTAAAAATCAGTTTGGAAAGTGTGTAAAGATATTCAGATCAGATAATGGTGGAGTATTTGTAAATTCTAATTGTCATGATTTGTTTATGCTGCATGGTATTATTCATCAGAAGTCTTGTCCTCACTCTCCACAACATAATGGAGTTGTGGAAAGGAAGCACAAGCACTTGTTGGAGACTGCAAGAGCAGTGAAGTTTCAGGGTTGTCTTCCAAATGGTTTTTGGGGAGAATGTGTAGAAGCTGCTACTTATATAATAAACAGGATGCCTTTAACAGTTCTAAGAAACATGTCCCCCTATGAGTTAGTATATTACAAGAAGCCCTCATTGGCATATCTCAGAGTTATATGATGCCTTGCATTTGCTACAAATTTGAAGAAGGGTGATAAGTTTGCACCAAAAGCTAAAAAACTGTGTTACTTGGGTATGTTGTTAGTCAGAAAGGTTATAAATTGCTAGATCTTGAGACAAAGGTCATCTTTATCAGTAGAGATGTCATTTTTCATGAGAAGGTTTTTCCATTTCAAGAAGCAAGTCTTGAGGACACCACTGACTCAATATTTCCTGTACTATCACATGTGGAAGAATGTACACTTACACCATGTGTTATTTCTGCTACAGAGCAGCCAGACATTGTTCCTGATCCTTCATATCTTGTTTTAGATACTGAGACTGTTCCTTCAGACACTGAGGTTGAGGTTATTTCATTTGTAGTATCACCACAGCTCCCTGATGTTATTAGAAAGTCCAACAGGCATGTAAAGCCACCATTTTGGCATACAAATTATGTTTTGTCCAAGCAGAATAAATCAGCTAGTGCTTGTCTATATTCTATTGGTGATGCAGTAGATTACCAGAGCATCACACCAACATACAAAAGTTTTGTTACAAAATTTTCCCTGGAAAAGGAGCTTTCAATTTATCATGAAGCCATACAGGATCCCAGATGGGTTGAAGCTATGCAGAATGAAATTCTTGCTTTGGAGGATAATCATACTTGGAAGCTTACTCAGTTACCTGCAGATAAGAAAGCCATTGGATGTAAATGAGTTTATAAAATAAAATACAAAGCTGATGGAGAGGTTGATAGATTCAAGGCCAGTTTGGTAGCCAAGGGTTACAACCAAAGAGAGGGATTGGATTATCAGGAAACATTCTCGCCAGTTGTAAAAATGGGGACAATCAGGGCTGTTCTGGCTTTAGCTGCTGCACATAAATGGCAAATCCACCAGATGGATGTTT